TGTGTGTGTGTGTGTTTTTGCGTGTGTTTGCGTGTGTGTGTGTGCGCGCGCATATTTGCGTACATACTTACGCAGACCGATCGATTTTTCGCTCGAACCCCAAATGCCGGAAACGACGTGCCGTTCAGGTGAACGGATACATGTACCCCCCTCCTCGTGCTTCCCCCATCCTCCTTCCCGTTTCCGTCCTGGGAATACCCACCTGTCCTCGTATAAGGTATGATCATAGCTTTGGTCAGCCGGTCAACAGTTCCGTGGATATCATGATGCTTCACGTGCGGTGCCCCGCGGATCCAATTTCCCTTGGTTCGGGATGATACTTATTGTCATATTTTGGTGTCAGGAAAATAATTGGATACATTTTTTTTCGCCCGCGGGGAATTGGATCCGTGCAAGACAGAAATCTGGTTCACGACGCTGTCGCACCCCCGAGAAGGGAACCAATTGGATGCATCGGTGTTCTCATATGTTTAGTCAAAGAGGAAACAACACATCCGGTCTGGGGACGTATACGCGCATGCACGTTTGCGTTGATGAAAGCCGCCGCGCGCGCAGCGTCTCTGGCCCATCTTGCGTGGAAGGACGCATTGCGGGAAAAGGCGACGGCTGCCACGCGCGGTGCGGCTCTTGCCCATCCCGCGCAGAGAGGACACAATGCGGGCGAGGCGAAGGCCGCCGCACGTGCGGCGGCGCCGGCCCACCCTGCAGCGAAATTTAGAAGCAGGCGGGGGGGGCGAGAATTTTTGGCCCATCCAGTATAGAACGCAAGGAGGACTACAATTCTGGAGGAGCGGGAGCCGCCGCGCGCGGGGCGGCTCTTTCCCATCCCGGGCGGGGAGAAGTTCGCGAGGCGGGTGAGGCGAGAGTCGCCGCGGGCGCGGCTCTGGGCCCATCCTGAATCGATGTGACAAGGTGCGGGAGAGGCGAGAGCCGCCGCGCGCTCGGCGGCGCCACCCCATCCCGAGCGGGGAACAGCTTCGAAGCGGGAGAGGCGATGGCCGTCGCGCACGCAGCGGCTTTGGCCCATCCGCTGCCGCAGAACACAAGCAGGGCGGGAGAGGCGGGAGCCGCCGCGCGCGCGAGAGCGCGGGCCCCTCTTGCGCGGGGAGAACCAAAAAGACGGATGCCGGAAAGGCGAGGACACCGCGCGCGCGCGTGTTGCGGTGCTGGCCGACCTTGGGCGGGGGAGCGCAGCGCGACGCGGGAGAGGCGAGAGCCGCTGCGCGCGCGGCGGCTCCAGCCCATCCTGCGAGGAGCAACGCAGCGCTAGAGAGGCGAGGGCCGCCGCGCGCGCTTCGGCCTTGGCCCGTTTTCCCGAGCATGGTGCTGTGAAGCCCGAATTGGCCAGCCGTGTGGCCGAGGCGCCCGCGGCGGCGCACATCCTGCAAGATTGGCCATGGAACCGTTGCGCACGGCGGCCCTCGTCCCCCAGCATTGCGCTGTTCCATCTCGGTCGAGGCATTCTCGGCTAAATTGCGTGGTCCCGCCGACACGGTCAACCTGGATTTAGAGCGCTGTTCGCCGTCGGGTTCAAAAGCTCCCGAGGCAGCGCCGCACATCGCAAGCCGCTCTAACGCCAACGACACCGCAGCTGGCGACGATTTCATTGCAAAACGGATGGGACCTCGCTGACAATGTCAATCAGGACTCTTGGTGCTTTATGCTATCGTGCCCCATGGCCCCGACGGCAGCACCCAACATCGCAGGCCGCCCTAAGGCCGATGACACCGCAGCAGGCGACGATGGAGGGTTCTGTTCTAGAGCTCCTCGAAGGCCGAGGGCTTGGTGTGCAGCAGCCTCTTCATATGCGACATGGGCGCCTGGCCTGGCTTGATCTCGCCTCCCAGCTGCTCCATGCACTTTGCGATCAGCTCCGAGTCCGCTGACATTCCCATGACCACCTTCGCGTATGTGTCTTCGTAGGTCGGCGCCACTTTCACGAAGGGGAACCTGACTTCGCTCACCTCCAGGGGTAGCTCCTGCATCTCCGCCCTCAGCTTGCTTGGGTTGACCTTGGTCGCACCACCTACTCCGTCTCCGTCGCTGTGGGGGACGAAGAGGAGGATGAGGAGGAGGAGGAGGAGGAGGAGGAGGAGGAGGAGGAGAAGGCGGAAGAGGATGAGGAGGAGCGGGAGGAGGACCAGTGTAAACCCAAGACGCATCAACGATGTTGGACTGCACCCTCACCTCAGGTTCCCTCTTTCATAGGCCCCGACGAGGATTCAACTCCATTGAAGGCAGTGCCCCCTTTGCATGCATGCATATATACATACATACATCCATACATACAACCCATACACACAATCCATACATACATGTATACATACATACATGCATGCATGCATACAGACACACGCGCACACACATACATACATACATACACACATCCATACATGCATACATGCATACATGTATACATACCCACATGCATACACATACATACATACATGCACACACGCACTCATATATGTATTTATATAAACATATTCATATATACATACATATATACATGTGTGTATACATGAACCTGCACATATATATATATATATATATATATATATATATGTGTGTGTGTGTGTGTGTGTGTGTGTGTGTGTGTGTGCGTGTGTTCATACATCTATTTATATGTAATGTGCATAGCTGCAGGCCCTCGGACGATCCCGCCACCGTGCGTTGGGATCTCGGGGGGGGGGGGCGCCTCTTGGAGGCAGTTTTGAAGCCTCTTGGGGGCCTCATTTGGGCTTCTCTTGGGCCTCCTGGGGGCCTCTTGGAGCCTCTTGGGGCATCGTGGAGGTTTCTTGGAGGCCTCTTGGGCGCCTCTTGGGGCCTTCTGTGGGCCTCTTGGGGCGGAATGCTCGAACTTTCGATCTGTGGTCCCTCTCGTGGGCCCTTCTGGGTCCCTCCTGGGCGTCTTGGACGCCTCGTGGGCAGTCTTTGGGCGCTCTTCGGCCGTACTGGGGCCCTCGTGGAGGCCTCTTGGGCGGGCCGTCTTGGGGTGGTCTTTGGGTCTCTTGGGCCGTCTTGGAGCGTCGGAAAGCAGAAGAGGCGAGAACGTCAGAATCTTTCAAACACCTGAGGATCATCAATGATGTTTGCCTCTTGGGTCCTCTTGGGAGGCCTCTTGGAGACTTCCTGGGGCGTATTGGAGGCATCCTGGGCCATCTTGAGGCCATCTTGTAGCGTCTTGGGGCGATCTTTTGGCGTCTCGGGGCCCTCTTGTATCGCGTCGGGAGTTTGTGGGGCCCTCTTGGCCCGTTCTGATGCCTTCTCGGATCCGAACACGTCATGCGGGAAGATGCTGGGAACCGCAGGGGGGCACGCGATAATCTCTTGGAGATTTGAGAGCGATGGGGTCTGGGGAGTGGGCAGTGACGCTCAGAGGACTGGGCAACTGACCTGAGGACAATCCCACTCCGCGGCCAAGGGCACGGTGGCGGATATATCGACATGTGTGTGCTGTCATATTAGATTGGGCTTCCCGCTTTTGTGCGTTTCTTGCGTTCGAGTGTTGTGACATCCAATGCAGGTCTGGCATTGCGGCCCTGCAACGTATATTCGGAGTGAGGGACGTTTCAGGCTGACACTATGCCTAAACACCCTAAGTGCAACAGCGTGGATATTGTACTGTTCTCATTGGTGTAGGAGTTCCCTTGGGCTTTGCAATCGTATGTTCACCCGATTCGAGCATACAAAGCGCTTAGAACGTGCAGTTGTATTGGTTGGTTGTGGCGCAGACCAGCAGGGCGCTACAGTTTCCGCCATGTTCGGCCAGGCTTAGCCTTAACCGCCAGGCCAGACCGACCAGTAGTACTCGACGCACGCAGTTTCTTTGCATGTTCGGTCGCGCCCTTGCCAATTCCGCTGATATTCGATAGAAGGCAAACTGAGCAGTTTAGCAGTTCCCATTTGTCATACTCCTACGTATGATCAGACTCGAACGCGTCAGGGTGTACGAGTGCACGGGCGGCCTTGAACGGTGCACGAGGAGGGATCGGGGAGGAGTGTTGAGGATAGGAGGGTGAGAGAGGGAATTCAGGGAGGAGGCTCATAGCGAGAATATGGGGTGGGGACCGTGCACGCATGGGGGTGGGATATGTGGAGGTGCAGCAGCCAGTGCTGTTGGGCCTCGTTGGGCGAGCCTGTGCGCCAGTAGCAACACAGAGGGGTACCTTGAAGGAGAAACTCTGAGAGGGGATTGCGGGGTGGCACGGAGTCGTGCGCTTGTGTTTCTCATCGCCGCCGCGACAGACCGTGGGCGGCCGACCTGTGGTGTCGGTTTGCGGGGTGCGGTCGGCCTCTCCCGCGGCAGAGCACTCCCATGAGCCAGCCGCCCATGGTCTTCAGTGGCGGCAGTTGATGGGCCTGTTTTCCACCACCACCATCATAAGTTGGAGGGGGAGGGGGTCCTCCTCCTCCTCCTCCTCCTCCTCCTCCTCCTCCTCCACCTCCTTCCCCCATCTAACTCATGGTGGTGGTGGTGGTGGAAAACAAGCCCATCAGCAGTGGTACACAGGTCCGCCTCCGTCTCCTCCGAAAGGAGGAGCGTACCTCTGCGTCTCGGCGGCGGGCGCGGGCGCGGAGCCCGCTGCGCCCCCCTGCTGCCCACCGTGTGGACTGCGAGCCTGGCGTCACGACCGTCCCCCGCCCACCGCTTGGGACCTCGGCGCGTGGGCTCTTCAAGTCGAGATCTTTTTGAGTGACAGGTCGCTCACGCGGCGTTTTGAATGTAACCCAGCTGCAGTCTGGTTGTCCTCGAGGCACAGAGGAAGGCAGAGGTGCATACAGTCGGGGCCCTGAAGAAGGAACCCTTTTCGTTGTGGAGGGGCTCCGTGCTCCTTGATTGCTTCACCGTTTGCCTTGGGTTTTCCTTTGGTTTTCGATGGGAAATCGGAGTTTAACTTGTTGGAAAAAGGGGCCACGTTCCTTATTTATCGCTCCTTAGGTCAAGGCCCCGACTGTAGGTCCACCAGGGCAGAGCCCGGGAGGAGGGCTGCCCTCAGGAGCGCCCCTGCGGCGGCGGGCCCGGGCCAGCCTCCAGGCGCGGGCCGCGGCGGGGCATCGCCGGCCGCGCGCGCGGAGACGCCCCGGCGGGGGCTTGCTTGGCGGGAGCGACGGGAGAGCCGAGGAGAAGAGAGAGAGAGAGAGAGAGGACGAGAGGGAGAGCCGAGGAGAGGAGAGAGGACGAGGGATGACGAGAGAGAGGGCTACGGAGAAGAGAAAGGGCGAGGGACGAGGAGGAGGAGGGACGAGGAGGAGGAGGGACGAGGAGGAGGACGAGGAGGACGAGGAGGACGAGGGAGGACGAGGGAGGACGAGGGAGGACGAGGGAGGACGAGGGAGGAGGTGGAGGAGGAGGAGAAGCACCAGCGGCGCGGGTGTTGGCAGTGCAGCGAGCGGTCGTTGAATCTCGACGGGTTCTTCGAACGGCCGAGCGCGGCGAGGAGGCCGTCAAGGCGTGGCCATACATCCTCTGCGACAGAACGAGGCGATGCAGGAGGAGGTGGGTGCGCACCGAGGGGATGGAGGAGGCGCGGAGAGTCTGGTGGAATACAGTCGGGGCGCTGGAGAAGGAACCCTTTTCGCTGGGGGGGGCTCGGTGTTCCTTGATTTGTTTCAAAGTTTGCCTTGGGGTTCCCTGGGGTTTTCCATAGGACACCGAGGTTGAAGTTATGGGAAAAAGGGGCCTGGTTCCCTATTTAGGGTTCCGTAGGTCAACGCCCCGACTGTCTGGGGGTGTGGGTACATCGAGCTCTCCAGAGCACGGCTGCACAGGCAGATCCACGGAGCAGGAGTGCTGGCAGCCCTCTCGCCCTCCCCTGGCCACAGCTGCCCCCCCCCACAGCAGGAACGAGGGCGCAGGAGGGGGAGGAGGAGGAGGAGGAGGAGGAGGAGGAGGAGGAGGAGGAGGAGGAGGAGGAGGAGGAGGAGGAGGAGGAGGAGGAGGAGGGGGAGGAAGGGGGAGGAGGAGGGGGAGGAGGAGGAGGAGGAGGAGGAGGAGGAGGAGGAGGAATAGGAGGAGGAGGGCGGGGAGGGGAGGGGAGGGGAGGGGGAGGGGCTCTGTCCCTTGCGTCCCTTCGCTGCCTTGGCCGACCACTTCCGCCAACCGAGCGCGGACGTGCGGGCGCCGACGGGCCCTGCATCCCTGCGTTGGGTTCGCGCCGCGCCGATCGGCGGCGGCCCCGCCGCCCTGCGTTCACCGTGGAACGCCGCCGGCGACCCAGCAGACTCGGTCGAGTCGATCTTGACCGATCCGGCCAGCCATTTTTGGAAACGGTCGATCGCGAGTGCGAATGCGGGTGCCCCCGCGGCGGACATGAGGCATTCGCGAGCAGTCTGTTCTTGCGAGTCGTGCAACGCGCTCGTCCTGGTGGTGACGATGCAGACGCCATGCGCAGAGAGGCACGAGGGGGTGGTGGCCACGACCTTCAAGTCGGGCATGCCCCTCTATAGAAGGAATGTCCCCAAATAGTCAAAACATAGTCTGGGGACGATGTTTGACTATTGTTGTCTATGCTTGAGTCGTTTATATATATATATATATATATATATATATATATATATATATATATATGTCTCTCTCTCTCTCTCTTCCTCGTCCTATATTTTTGCAAGCCCGGGCGGGGGGACCCCCCCCCCCAAAACCGGACTCCCGGGATCTGGGGCTTTGGGACCCTCCGCACGGGCCTCGAAGCGGCCCACTGGGACTCGCAGGGCGTTTTGTCAAGCCTTCCCAGCACACCTAGGGCGATCAGGGGGGTCATCGGAGACGTCCCAGAGACCCCCAAGACAGCACAAGAGCGCTCCAATAGTGACCGACGTGACCTCAAGATGGCCCAAGAGGCCTCCATGACGGCCCCAAAGAGTCCTCCAAGAGCAGTCCCAAGGAAGAAGGCCCCCAGAGGCAAAAACCATTTTTTCTTGGGGGGGGGGTTTTGGTGAATTTTGGGGTTCTCCTGTTTTCGACTTCCCGACGCTCCAAGACGGCGGTCTTTGAGCGTCCGAAGCCGCCTGGGAGGCTCCCAAATCGCCCCACAACCATCCCAAAGGGCTTCCAGGCAGTCCAAGAGAGCCCCAAAACAGCACACCACGAATCCAAGATGGCCCTCAGAGAGCTCCTTGGGCCCAAGATGGCCCTAAGACACCCTCCAAAGCATTCCAAAACGTGACCCGGTCGTTCAGGGAGACCGCGGTTGGAGGCAGGGTGGTCCGAGGAAGCCCTCGGAGGTCCCCAGAATACGCCCAGGATGCCTCCAGAAGGCCTCAAGAAAGCCTGAAACAACTTTTGTGAGACCCCCAGAGGCTCTCCAAGGAGGAGCCTCCGCAAAAAAGAGCTGATGAGGATGGGGAGAATGCGGAGGGTATGGCCAAAATGAGGAAACAGAAACATGGAGGAAGGATAACGAATAACATTATTATTGAATCGCTTCGCTCATTCCGCCGGCCCGTGATATGGCATCGCTGGTTTTTGTCTGTGTGTTCGTTGCCCATGTTGCGCTCTTGGGGGCGGGTGTCGTTCGGACGCGTTGCGTGGGGAGTTTTGATGGTGAAGCAGTTCCCTGGGGGTCGTCTCTCGATGGGGCGAAATAGAGTCGTCGTCAAGATGCTTCTTTGGGGGGCCTCTTGGGGTCTGTTGAGAGGCCGTTCGGGGGCGCCTGGGAGACATGTTTGAAGCCTTCTGGGGCCTCTTTGGGACCTCCTGGGCGCCTTCTGGGACGGAGGGCTCCATTTTTGAGTTCTCGGTATCCCTCCTGAGTCCCTCTTGGGCCCGTCTTGGGGCCTCTTGGTCCGTCTTGGGCGGCACTTGGGCCGTCTTGAGGGCTCTCTTGGGTCGTTTCGGCGCCGTCTTGGGAGCTTCGTGGGCCGTCTTGGAGCGGTCTTGGGGGCCTCTTGGGCCGTCTTGGAGCGTCCGGAAGCCGAAAAAGCCAGAACACAAAAAACATAGAAAAAACCAATGAAAATCAACGATTTTGGCCTCTTGGGGCTCTCTTCGGAGGCCTCTTGGAAGGCTCTTGGGGCGTCTTGGAGGCCTCTTGGGCTGTCTTGGGGGCCTTTTGGGCCGTCTTGGGGTCATCTTCGGCGTCTTCGAGCGCTCTTTGGGCGTCTCGGGGGCCTCTTGGGCAGTCTTGGGGGCCTCTTGGGGCACTCTGAGCGCGCTCTGGGGAGCCTGAGAGGCCGCACCCAGAAGGAAAACCATCTCTGAGTAGACTTGGTCGGGCGGCGGTCGGGCGGCGACCGGGCGTTGGTCGGGGTACTTTTCGCCGGGGGACCCCCAGGGGCCGCCCCGCGCGCGCGAACTAGAAATACTGTTAATACTGTTAACCAGTTACCGGAGATCTTAGCACGCCCTGGCCCGTTGGGCCGGCGAATAGCGGCGATGCCGGCAACAAAAACAACAGGGAGTTATCGCTAAACTGTCGGCTTGACCTTCCTGCTATCCGCCTGCATGCCAAACTTCAAGGACCAAGGTGCAGTGGCGCGAAGCGCCACTGCAGTCTTGTGTATATACTTACATATATATATATATACATATAGAGCTCACTTTCCTTCCAACACCCGCCTGTAGGAGGACATGTCCGACCTAACACTACCTGTTGTAACCGGCTGATGGGGTGAGAGATGGATGGTTTTCCTGAGAAGTACTTCAAGTTCGGGTTTGGGTTCGAGAGAGGGACAAAACAACGATTCGGGTTCGAACCCCCCAAGAACCCAAAGTTCGACATAAGTTCAAGACGGACCCCTGGCGCAACGACGGCGTTTTCCAAACTGCACTTAATTTGTTCTGAAACTTACTTTTCTGAAACTTTCTGAACGTTTGCGTTTTTTCTTACTTTTTTAGAACTTGTCGGAACTTGCTTTTTGAATTTTGATGTTTTGTTCTAATTTGTTTGATTTGCTGTATGTATAGTTCGAGTTGTTTCTAACTTTCTCCTCGCCGCCGAGCGCTATCTGAACTTTCTCCGAACTTGTTTCTCGCCGCCGAACTTTTCCGAACTTGTTTCTCGGCGCCGATGTTTTCCGAACTGTTTCCCAACTTCAGGATTCCAGCAACGTTGAACTTGAACTTTTCAAAAGCATTGGCCTCACACTTTTCCGAACTCAGGAAATTAACATAAGGATCATTCGCGCCCCCTCAGCCTGTTACAATTCACGGTGTTGACCACGTAGGTGTGACCCGATTTTCCTTTCCGGGATTCGGGCCGAAGCAGACGTAGGCCGCTCGCCGAAAGTATGTGTGCGTCTTGACTGTTGGATCCCACAGGTACGACGCTCAAATCAGGACCACCTTGGGTTCACGAGGGACTTTGGGCTGCTCCGTGGGCCCAGGCCGGGGAACCTCTTTGCGGTGGCAAAAAAGCCCCTTCGTTCTGAATTCGGCGTTCCGCACGATGGCACGGCGTTCCGCAGGTCCTGCTGTGCTCAAGAGGCTTGCGCCATTCCAGCGGCCGCCGGAGGGTGGAGATATGCAGCCTCAGACCTTGAGTGTGTTGCTTGCCGCTGCCCGTCGTGCTCCCCGCGTGCAGTTGCTGCTGACTCGTGCTCGTCTTCCTCCGTTTCGGTTGCAGGGCATCTTTGGGTGCCTTTTGGATGCCTCGGGGGCGGCCTCTGCTGGACGCCTCTGGAGGGCTCCGGAGGGCTTTCTGGTCGGTGGCCCCTCGAGGGCATGCTGGGGGTCTCGGGGCAAGTTTTTTCGAGAGAGGGCCAGCGGAGCCCCTGCGAGTTCCCCCTCGTAAGTCTCTATGGGGCACCTCGTGTGGCTCCTTGAAGGCACGTTTGGCCCCCCGGGGCCGTCTGGCCCTCCTGGGGGCCTCTTTGGCCGTCTTTGTCCAGTCCGTGGGCCTCCTGGGCCGTCTCGGGCTTTTTCAGCAGACCACAGCAAGTTCCTGCCTTCTCCCGGTCGCCCTCGACCTGCTCTCTTCATCCAGCGTTGTAGCGATATCGCCACCCTCTCCGCCTTCCGCCGTATCCACATCCCGCTCGGCGCTGGTCGCGGAGGCGCGGCAGGCCCGGGCGCGCCGAGGGAGGTGAGCCCTCGCGCACGCCTCGCCGTGGCTCGC